CAAACCGTCACAAATTTATTGGAGAATGCGAAACCTGTATCAGCTGCCCCCAACGTTCCTAGAATGTTACCTGATACCGATGTTCGTCTTCCGTCATTCGCCCTCCCATGTGGCGTAGCCGGTCCCCCACCAAAAGCTACTTCATCAAACGCAAAGACAAAGGTCAAGAAACCACCAAGACCACCAAATGCTTTCATCTTGTACCGTAGAGCTAAACAACCCGGTATCGTCGCTAGGCATCAAGGAATTACCAATAATGAGGTTTCAAAGGAGATTGGTAGAATGTGGCATGAAGAACCGGCCGAAATCCGTCAAAAGTTTCAAAGGATGGCCGATGCCGCTAAGCAAGAACATATGAAAAAATACCCTGAATACAGATATCGTCCAAGAAGACCACAAGAAAGGAAGCGCAGGATTCAACCACGTGAAGATTCACCATCAGGAAGTAGTGCCTCGCCTACTTTGCCCACGCAAAGTTTACCAATGCTTGATACTAATGCATATTACCCAAGGCGTATCTCCTCAATGTCAGCCGATGGTGAAAATTCAGAGATTTATACCCCCACCACCATGGTGAATTCCCATAATAATATCATTCAACATCATCCTCAACATCAACAATTGATATTTGCTGACGGTCAAATAATGAATTCTCCACAACAACTTAATCAAAATTATATGGATGCCACAATGGCAAAATACGATTTCACTTACCTTGATGATTCGGTCTCTCAGAATTCGTATGATGGCAGTCCCATATCGTCAACAAACACAACTTTTGTTAATACCCCTATGACAACAAATCCTGGTGGCATAGATTTTAACGTATTTGATGCGTCACAAACCGGGTCGAACGATGCTGTAAATTTTATCGGCTTGGGTGACTTTGACGCTTACGATCAGTACGAAAATATGGCTGCTCTCTCTTTTATTTCCGCTGATGATCAACAATACCTTCGTAACAATTCGCAATTCGTGAAATTCGACTACTAAAAAAAAAAAAAATTATTCCACTTTTTTAATTTAAAGAACTTTTTTATAATTTTCAAAAAAAAAAAATTCACTTTTTTTTAAACCTGTAAATTTTTTTTCTGGTAAGCAACTTTTTTTTTTTTAACATTATGGCGCGGCGCAATAACATGGTTTGAGAAACTTTGCTAACCTGATTTTTTATGTTTTCGCAGATATAACTCGATATATCAAACCTCGTTTTTTTGTTACTATATTTTTCTTCGTATATATTTTTTTCCATCGTTTTTTTATTGTTAAATACTTTTTTCTTTTCGCACAAACACAAACAAACACAAACAAAAAAAATCTCGAAAGTTACCTTCACTTTTTTTTCTATTAACTTTATTGCATTTTTGCATAACATTCCTTCTCCTTAAATTACAAACAATTATGATTCAACAACAAAATTAAGGTAATTTCACAAGAAAATTGAATGCTATTTTGAATTTTTTGAACGCAAACATTGCAATATTTACAATTTTTACGTATATGCTAATCTCATCCCTTTTATTTCCTCATCTATAGATTAAACATTCACATTAAGCCAAAAATTCATTTCACGCATTTAATGACTTTTGTTAATTATTCGAATAATAATTTAACGCAACTTCGATTGTTGAATTGTTGAATGGAAGGGGAGAAGCAATCAAAAAGAAAAAAATTGCTCCCTTTTTTTATCAAAAAAAAAAAAAAACCTCGAAAATTTTTAGAAATTTCATTTCCACCCCCCCCTTTTGTTTTCACGGGCAACTCTCATGACCTACTTTCCAGAGAGTAACTATTATCCGGGTTTTTTCTTTTTTTTCGCACAAGGTTCTTCAATTGTGCTTTTTTTTTTTTAAAAAAAAAAAAAAATCAAAAAAATATCAAAAAAAAAAATCAAAAAAATTTTTTTCTTTATATGTCGTGCAGAGAAAGTGTGAACCAGGCTAAATATCGTTTTTTTTGGGAAAATTCCAAATCAGTTAGTATTCATTTTGCTCCACTGAAACTACTGTACATTTACGCCTTCACTTCTCTCCAATTTAGGTTTATGCTTCTCTTTTTTTTATTGATTTGCTTCTCTGTTATAATTCTAGTACGACATTTTATCTTCTCCCCTTGGTTAATAAAGTGTCCTAGGTTATATAATATTTATGATAAGAAAATTTTTTATTTAAAGCTTTTAATGTATAGTTTTTTTATATTAATAATTTCTAATATAATCGTAATGTCATGTATAAAAACAAAAAAAAAAAAAAAAAAATTTTAATAGTTATTTGCATAATTATACTTTTATAACTTGGAAGAGAAATTCGACGATACTCCGAATTTTTTATTAGGACCATTACTTATTATAGCAGTCCTTTTTTAGCACATAATTATTATTTGACGCAAAAAAAATACGCATTGTAAATCACAAACACAAACATTTCATGCATTCAACCTTTTCGTTTCTTTTCCTAATGTTATATATATATTTTTTTATATTACCCCCATTTTCAATTTTTCCGCATTTGTAAAAAAAAAAATCATCAATTTATTTGCATTTAATTCCTACTTGCATTTTATTAATATATTAATAGTTATTTAACAAAGCGTTAAAAAAAAACAACGATTTTTAAATACATGAGAAATAATTTTTTTTAAGATCTCTTTTTTTTAAAAAAAAAAAAGGAAAGAAAGAATTACTTTTTTTTAATAATAAAAAAAAAGAGATTAATTTTTTTTTATTTGAAACAAAACCTTTTTTTTCCTAAAACCTTTTTTTAATTCTTCATTTGGTCTTGATAACTGAATTTGGGAGGTTTCGCCGAATTTTTTTTTTTTGTGTGTACTGTAAAAAGCGCTTTTATGTTTTATGTGATAAGTCTGCACTTACCCTTCATTTAAATCCATAACCTACCGGATACGTTAAAGTTTAATTTTAAATTTTTCTCAATGGATTAAAGTATTAATTCACAACAAAACACATGCAACTACATGAAAATTTACATCTTATCACCCGCAGTAAACGCCAAAGAAAAAATCCCGAAAGAAAACAATGAAATTTGCCCCCGTCTTTTAACTACCCAAAAGGAAATTTACCTTGTTATCAAAGTTTATCTATTTATGAGCTTTCATTTGGTTAAAGCATTTTTTTTTCTAAAAAAAAAAAAAATATATAGATCATTTTGTTTTGTTTTAAGAAGAAAAAAAAAAAAGTAGAATAATTCGAGTTTTCTTTGGTCGCAAAATAAAATTTAAATAAGGAATTCATATTTCTTTACAGAGATTCATTGACAGATTCGCGCATTTGATCGCGCTCAACGATTTTTTTTTTTTTTCAGATGATTGAAAGGGGACCAATCATAGCACAAGGCGACGACATCGTGTCAAAAAAAAAAAAAATAATTTCGTGAGTTCTGTAAATCAGGTTATCATCCGTTAAAAGATGTCAAATATAGACTAATTACATATTTTATTATTTTTTTTTTTGTTTCAAAAAATGAGAAAGAAAAAGTGTCAAAATTTAATTTTTGAATGAAAAGGAAAAAAACTTGTTTCTCTGTCTCCTTTAATTCTTGTGACCAAACTTTTTTTCTTTCTCTTTTTTTTTTTTTTTTTTTTTTTTTTTTTTTTTTTTTGTTTCTTTTTGTTTCTTTTTGTTTTTTTTATGTACTTGAGAAAATAAAAAATAATTTCTTTCTACACAGGTGATGCCAAACAAAGATACTTGATATAGTAGTGAAAAATTTCAACAATAATCATCGTTTCGTGTCACGTTCGTAACAAGAATTGTTACTTGACAAGTTAAAATATCACATAATCACATTTGAATTTTTTATATAATTGAACACAAAAGAAAGAAGGTTTTTGTTGCGAGATGTGATAGGTTTAATAAGAAAACCTTGATTTAAATTAGGTTTATAAAGTAAAAAAAGAAAGAACGAACAAATAAAAAAAAAAAAAACTTTAATGAATTACCATAAATTTCATGAGTTTCCCGTAGTTTAAAAATTTTATGTGGTGTAAATTAAATTATATTTAGTAGGTACATGATACTTTTTTATATGATACATGCATATATACTGTATATACAATATTTAGTTTATTTACTTTTTATTTTACTTATTTATTTATTTATTTATCCTTTATCAATCTTTGTTCGTTTCAAATAAATATTTCCTTCGAAAAAAAAACAGAAAAAAAAAAAAAAAAAAAAAAAAAACGAGATGTACAGGAACCTTTTGAAAAGGAGCGCCAAGGGCGCCAATCAGGAATATTTTTTTTTTTTTGTCTTCTGATTAAAAGTGTTTTCCTGTTTATTTTATTTTTTCTTCCCTTTTTTTATTTCACCAAATATACCTGTTTATGAGGTATCGACGTTATCTACATACTAAATTAGACGACCTTATCATCTGTTAATTTAACCTTCTGAAATAAAAATCTAAATTTATTCAAACTCCCCAAAAATTGACCCAAGTAAAACTTTGTAACAGGTAACCTAATCACCCTGTCATTAAACCTGTCAAACAGATTTTAATGAACCCAGAACAGGTACCCTGACCATCTCAAATGATTAGGTCTAGAATAAAATCTAAGAAAGTCAGTTTAAATACTTTAAAATCATTATACTAGTGGCTTTTGAACTGTCGCTAAATTGGGGGTTCGCCGTTTCTGTGGCTTCGCTCTGGGTAACGATGGCTTAGCATTCATTTAAAAATATATATCCAAAATTTTATAAAAAAAGAACCCATCAAAAAAACTCTTTCATTGGAAGGGAGTTGATTAGCCGGGTTTAGCATAATTTGAGTGAGCAATAATCGAATTACATTTAAGTTTCAATCCAAAAGACATTCATGTGATACTTTTTCGGTTATCAAGGAAAGAAGCAAGGATGATTAATTTGTTTACTACAATCGCTTCAAAAATAAGGTAAATCTCCCCCCCCCCCCTCCCCCTTATTTTTTCTTTCAGAGGGTTTTTTTTTTTATTTTTATTTTTTTTTTTTTTGTTCATTCTGTAAAATGGTGAAATTCAAAACTTCACTTTGGGGAAAGCTTATGTTAGCTTCAATTGTAATTTATTGTATATCTTTAACGTTATTGGAAACTCTTGTAATTATGTTTCATCTGGATTTTGTCTCTAAATTTATACTTACACAAAATGGTGATGGAATCTCCGAGTCCGATTTGATTTATCACGCAATGTGAGTGGTCACTTGGTTTCATTCATTCATTATTATCATTATCATTTATTTATTTTTTAACAAAAAAAAAAAATCAACACACCTCCACCCTTGATTTATTGATTCGTACAGATTTATCGCATCGCTCGTGTTTCAAGTGATCCTGTGTTTGGATGCGTTAATTCAAAAGAATTCAATTCAACTTAAAGCTCTATTAGCATTCAATATCCTTTCGCTCGTCTACGCGGCATTGCAGATTCAACAACATATAACACTCGAAGAAGAAGGAACAAGTGAAGCGACATTTTCCCCTGATGATATAACCAAATTCCCAACGCCAGAATTTACCAAACAGTATTACATCAAGAAAATGAGACCGATTGAATACATCATAGCCGGTCTAGTATTAGGATATTCGGTGATCCTGGGATTATTCTCGTATAAATTAATGAGCGAATTTGGATGGGAGAATTATAAGATTTATTCCGGGGATTTACAAGTTCGCAACGCATTGCTTTCACTCACATTACTGCAAGCCTTAATAAAATTAGACGTCTTCTTGATCTTATCATATGCCTTGCAACTCATACCATCAGAATCCATTGGATACTCTGATTCCATATTTGAGACCGTATCAATCTTTATCGGAGGGTTCATTATACTGTTTATGGCTTGGTATGCCGTGTCAAAAGAACTGAAATACATTCTATTGTTTGTGATTAATTTATCCATCTTTTCTTTAATTTATATTGTTTATAGGATGGTTAAAATCCTGATTCCAAGAACGGATGGAATTGATCCTTATAGGTTTACTAGAAAATTATTGTTTTTTACTTTAAGTACCACCTTTGTGTTCATTAGTATTACTATTTATTATGCCACCATCTGCTTTAAAAATATGAACCGTGGAGTTTATGTTTACACCGCTTATCAAAGTTCTGTTGGTCCTCAAGATGAAGGTAATAGAACATCAAAAAGATTTTCGAAAATCTCCGAGGTTTCTGAAGCTCGTAAATCAATAATCATCCTAGACTAAAAGGAGGAAATATGTTGAAGGGGTTTATTTGTATACAGTTTTTGTATTCAGGTTAACCGTTCATAAGATGATAACAGATCAAAAACAAAATTAAAACAAAATTAATAATCTCTGAATTTTAATAGATTTCCTTTTTTAAAGATTACTTGCCAAATTTATAAATCGGCGGTAAAAAAAAAAAATAAAGGGTGACCAATAGAACCTCGGCCATTTCGGTCGGAACATTCCTTTTTTTTTTGTAAATCTTCTACATATCAACCATTGACAGTCTGACGTTATCTTTTGTACGTAAACAAATGAAAAGATTAAACAAATGACTTGAGAAATAAGAGCATACAGTATACAATTTTTTTTTTTTGATTAAACATTTGTCATAATAAAAAAAAAAACGAAAAACAAAAAAGCCCTTGCTTATGTTTTTTATTTAATGAACTGACCCCCAAATATAAATATTTAGTTTAGTTGCTCAGAAAACAAATAAAGATATTTTATCTCTATGATTGTATTGGTCTCCTTTTTTTTTTTTAGGTATCATGTAATCCGTATAAAAAGATTTAAGGATTAATTACGTTGATTCTTGGTCAGACTTTAATAATCTGGTGATACAATCTGGCTGGAACATTTCAAATCAGCTAGCCGGTTTCCTATTTTTTTGCTAGGGCGATTAGGTGGGGTTGTAAACAAATTAACAGATCATTAAAGGATAAGGTCATAACGCGGACTGGGCATTCTGAAAACCCTATCCTTTGTATCACAATAATAATATTGCAATCTCATTAATCGCATTTATTTTTAGAAAGTGACCTCCCAAATAAATACCCATCTTTTGAAACGTAAATTAAGATTATGATTTTCCCAAGAATTTTTGAATTTCTTATTGTTGAAAAGAAAAAAGTTTCAGATGTACCCTACTAACCTATTGTTATTTGGTGTTATGTACTTCAAAAACAAAATAAAAATAAATCAAGTAACTACAATAAAATCAAAAAAGTCGATTTTTTTTTTTGTAAAATAAATAAATAAATAAATAATAAAACAATCAATTTTAAGTTCAGTTATTGTAAATTTAATTTATGAATAAATAATATATATTTGAATTGCTAAAAGCGGTTACAAGGAATTTGGATTAATTATGTTCAACTGGGGACGAAACCAGTTATGTACGCAGCATACTTGGACTTTAAACCTGCAGATAACTAAAATTTTTACTATATACATTAATGAATACATACTCAAATTTTAAAAATTTCCATTGATAATTTATTGATAACTTATATCAACGTTATCAAAAGCTTTCCATAGCGTCTTTTATATCAACTAATTATGATTCTTGGTTGGTATTTAAATGTTAAACTCTGACCGAAATTAAAGATTTAATCAGAGTTAATGACGTGGAAGTTTGCTAGGAAAATCAGGCTCTGTGAATTTTTTAACAAAATTTATGTTAATAGATTAAAATGTAATAAGGTCTTAGTTTTAGTCAAAAAATAATCGGAGCCTGATTTTCCTAGTAAACTTCCCATATGCTATTATAAATTTGTTGAAAAGTTTTGAAAGAATTTATTTTTTTTTTATAAATTGGAAAAATGGATTATTTATCAAAAAAGAATATTCTGGTGTTATAATTACTTATTATCTTTGATAAATCATATATATTCTATATTAATTAAAATCTTTTACTTATTAACCTTATATAATAAAATTATATTTTGAAGTCACATGATAAACTTTTTACATATATAACTTTTTTGTTTAAAGTTTAAAAGGTGATCTAACTAGATGACATAAACTGAAAATAATACAAATATTAATAATATAAACTTTTTATTGAAATTAATTCTTATAATTTCTTGATTTAATTGATCTTTGTTTCTTTTCTTTTTACTTTTAATTGATACATTACAATATAGAAAATTTCTTACTATAATTATGTTCTTTTTTACATTTTATCTTATAATTAAAACAAAGTATCTCTTTATATAATCCATTTGAATAATATGAAAATTCAATAAAACTATTATATATTATAATATTATTAATTTTAACAATAAAGAAAAATTTTTTTATAGAATTATTTATATTATTAAAATCATATATTTATATTAATTAAGTCATAAAAAAAGTATTACAATATATATATTGAATTTTATCTAAATATCTTATTAATTCATTATCTTCTTTTATAAATTGCATATTATTTATCATATTTTTATATTAAATTGTGTTACTTATATTTTTGTAATATTACAAATTAAGTTTAAAGATTTTATTTTTTAAATTATTTTTTTCTTTTAAAAAAATTTATATTTTTTTATAATTTCTTAATTATATAATTCTTTAAAATTTTAATATTTTTTCTATCTATTTTTAAAATTAAATCAGGAAATCATAAATTTTAACCCAAATTTTAAAATTAAAATTTATAGATTTATACATATAACAATCTAATTTTTACATTTTTTAATCTTAAAAAAAATAATATTATGATCTATAATAATGGTTATTCCTTAAGCATAAATATAAACTGATTATAAAATATTATAAAAAAATTATAATATTTTAATATCTAATGATTATAAAAACATGAAATAAAATTTATTGATTTATTATATTAAAATCTATCTAATAATAATATTTTAAATTTTTAAAATTAATAATTATTTAATATATTAATTTTTCGATTATTTAATTTTTTAAAATAATTTATTATCTAATAATTACAAGAAAATATCTCTTTTCAGTGATTACTCAACCAAGAATTTTTATATAAAAAATGTATACATTTAAGGGTAATCATAGTTTAGCCTGTAAATAAAAAACAAAACTCCTTTTTCAAACCTTTTTTTCTCTTTGTTCTTTCTAAACTCTCTTATTCTAAAAAAACAGTTTTTGTTAGTCCAAACGGTGGTATTTTTTATTAAAATATTTATTTCACCACTTCTTATAGCTGATTTTTTCATATTTTTTTCTTTTTTTTGCCTATAAAAGTAAGCATCAGAGGTATCCCAATGATGATCAGGATTAATAACAACTTTAGATCAACCAATTGCATGTGATGATTTTTCATTATCTTTCTAAATAAGAACACTCTTTTTAGATCTCTGACATCAAAAAACCTGCTGATCTTAGCAGAATTTTTCAGTTCTCATAATTATATGATTTGAACTTCATGCTGCCAGCAGCTGTAATCTGAATTGATAGATATATTAGCATAGAAGTTTAAGAGTACTGAAAAGTTTTTAATAGAACTTAGTAATATAGGTATTCCTGTAATAAGAGATTATTGTAACTAAAAATTAATCAGGCAACTTAACTAGAAACTTGTTAGAGTTAAATTTTTTTTATTAGCTTCTTTTTTGGTTTAATAATAATTCAAGTTACTTGTTTTTGTATTAAATTTAAATTTAGAATAGGAATTATTATTATTAGGTAAAAAGAGAGGGTATAGTAATAATCTAGTTGTTATATATTGATGAAGACTCTATTAATGATTATCTCTGAAATATAGCAGAATGACTGGTTAGTTTAGAGCTAATAAGTTTTTAACTTGCAAGGATATTTTAGGCAGTTCAGTTTATTTTTTCTGCTATATGTACTTAGTTTTCAGGATCTTTATATATTTACCTACTGGATTTGAATTTTCATAATAAATATAAGTATTATTATGTCTTTATAAAAAATAAAATAATTACAAAAAAATAAAATATAGTTTGTTAAATTTATCTCATTAAAACTTATTAAATGATTATATTTTTATATTTTTAAAATTAATAGATATCAAGATATATAAATTTAAAAATTTACCTTTTTTTTCATAATAATTTATCATATATTTATTTTTAAAATATTACTAATTAATTACATTTTTTTTTAAAATTTTACTTAGAAAATATCATAAAATTTATTAATTTTAAATAAAATTATTATAAATAATTTTAATTATTAACTAAAATTGCAAACAAATTTGCCTACAAAATACTTAAAGGAATAAAATTCAAAAAAGTTATATATATTTTGAATACATTTTTAAAGTATTTTTATAGTTAAAGAATTATCAATTAAAAAAAAGTGAATTTTATAATAAAATTATTTCTTTATTTAAGTTACTTTAAAAGTATAAATAATTTTTTTTTTAAATTTAAGTCTTTTAAATACATTTTTATTAATTTAATAATAAGATATAAACTATTGAATAATTAGCTTTTATTAAATTATAATATTTTATAATTCTTTAAATTCTTTATTAATTTTTGTTCTCATTAATCCTATATATTATATTAAATTTAAAATAAATATTATATGTTTATAGAATTTTTCAAAAATATCTTAATAATATATATACTGATATTAATAAATCTAAATCTAATATAATAAATATGAAAATTAAAGAAAATTAAATTTGTAATAATTTACATAATCATCAGAATTACTATTAATATAAATTAATAAGAATAGATTTTATTGTTTATCATAAAATTAAAAATAATTTCACATTTTGTAAAATTATAATCACTAATAATAAAGATCTATTATATAAATTAATTAATTATTTTTTTTAACAGTAGCAACTGGATAATTTAATTCTCTAACTTTATATTTATACTTATTATTTATAAAAACTAATTATAAAAAACTTTAAAAATAATAGCTAATTTCTTTAAATATCAAAATAATGCTAAAATATGAGCTCTTTGCAATAAAAAAGAAGGAAATTACCAAAAAAATTTTTTTGAATTAATGTTAATCTCACTGGTCAAAATCAAAAAAATCAGACATGCGAAAAATCAGCCTAAATTCAGCCTAAATTCGGCAAATTATCAAAAAATCAGCCTAGCTGATTGGCATACACTAGAAATCGGCCAAGAATCAGCTGAAATTCGACCTATCTTATTTATAGCCGATTGGCATACTTATTGCCGAGTGGCATATGTCAAAAATCGGCTAAAATTCGACCCATCTTATTTATAGCCGATTGACGTTCGATTTACATCCGATTGATA